AAAGAGTGTTGGCCACTTGCAAGAATGCTTCACTAGGTTAATCAACCTGGGTTTTTACCTAATTAGAGATATCTGACTGGGCTTATGTTTCCTGATAATTAAGAAAAAAACACAAATATAATAATGGAAGTTCTCTGAAGAAAGGATATTTCAAAAAAGAAGCCTGTATTAATTTGAATACAGTTTAGATAAATGCAGTATTTCTAGAAATCTGAAACCTGCTATGTAAATTCTGTTGCTCTCATTAAGACTAGCAGTCATACAGATTATAAGAGAAAATCTCTCCATAAAAAAGCTGAGCAAGCTCATGTCACTGTTTCAAGTTGAGTTTCAGGTGAGAGCTCAGTTTTTAAAGAGGCAGATATTTTATTAAAGTGAGTGCCAGTTCACTTGCACAATGATATAAAATGGTAACAGTTTAAAAGGTGTAGTAAATGGAAATAAAATTATAAGCTATGCTGTGTGTAAACAGGTTCCATGAGACAGAGTGTGTAAAACACAGTATCAGATTTTCTCTAGTCATTCTGTGAGAAGAATAAGTGCTCTGCACTTAAAGAAGATGCTTTGTCTTTGCAGTAACTGTTTTAAAATCCAGATTTTAAACATTTATATGTAATCTTTAGAGAAAAAATCAGAGAGTTATACTCTATTATATTTATTCCATTTAACATATCCTAGGCATTTCCCCAGGGTAATTTTAAAAAATGAGTACACTGGCAAGATTCCACAAGTATTTTTCACCTCAGTCATCACACTACCTATGCAGTTACCAAATGATAAAAGAAGAAAAGAAGAAAAAGAAAAAAAAGAAGCAGCAGCAAAGATGACTTACCATAAATCTTATGGTGCAACTGATGGCTTGGACTATTACATCAAGAATGACACCAAGCTGATTTGTCAGTCACGAGAATAAGGTCAAAAACACCTCTTCCTGCATGAAGAAGGATGTATCAGTTTGAAAACTTCTAGCAAACAAATCTGTTTCCATTTAAAAAAAAATCAAGAAGCAGTTCTCTTTTTTCTAAAAATGGGTCATCAGATGGTACATTTCTAACTCTGTGAGATGTGCAGAGATGTTGAAATTGTGGAAGATCCTCCTAGGAACTGAATTCAAGGTTTCACAACTCACAGCTGTAGTTTCATAAAAAGGTTTTTATCTCTTTGTTTTCTTTTTATTTAGCTAACCTCTTTGAATCAAGACCAGTTTAAATGAGGTTCATCCCTTTACATTTATCAATCATATTTATTTTAAGGTTTTTGTCCCTGAACAAAAAATGAAGCTTTTGAATAAAGCATATACTTTTATTCAGGATTACCTCCTCTTTCTTTTAGCTTGCTATGAGTTGCAGTCTTTATATTTTAGAATATTTTATTTATTCTATTTTTCTCCAACCTGTTTTTTTGGACTATGTTTCTTATTTTAATCTCTCTCTTAAGCCTATGACTTAGTCTACAGTGAGTTTGATCTTCTTTTAAAACAACACTGTTACTTTTCAGAATTAAGCTTCAGAAAACCCTGATAGAATCTGATTTCTTATCAACTTACTTCCTTGTGACTGGTTCAGGCAGCTTTTTTATCCCTCTTAGACATCAGAGAAACTACACAGAAGTTAGGAGAGGTACAGAGAAGGCAAGGGATGGTGTCTTATCAGATGCCTAAGAACCCCTGAGAGAGAAACCCTGAGAAGATACCTAATAAAGTGCAACCCCCTTCCTCCCCTTGACATCTCTTTGGAAGCTTCTGGAGCATCTCATCCCATCAACCTAGTGAAGGCACTGAAGGGATGTCTTTTCTCTACTCACTCCTTAGTATCCTTGAATTATTTTTAAATGCCAAAAGCCCACTGGAGATTTCTTGCCTTGGGTGCTGCCACTCCTTAATGGAAATTAAGGGAAGGGCAGCTTCTGAGTTACCTCTCACATCTGGGGTGAGACAGTAAAAAGCAAAAAGTGCGGCCTGTAGTCATTGTCAACCTTCTTCTCAGGAGGGACTGGTCAAGGATTTTATTCCACAGAACCAGTAGAGTTTTCCTTTTCCTTTCCTAGTCAGCTGTTCCAATGAGCTGTCTAAGACCTGGAGTCCCAATGTCAGTGGCCACTATAGGGTATTCTAAGGGTATGTGCACACTACCTTACTTGATGAGCTATATTACAGCCTCTATAGTCAGTGGAAAGAGCTGCTTCTAAAAATGTTTCCACTACACCTAAATCAAGTTCCTGACTGCAGCCAAACTTTGCTGACAAAAAAACCCTGCACTTTTTCAATGATTTCTTGTAACTCCCAAACAAGGTATTGTATCAAATTAATTTTTCAACATGTAATTCTTAAACACTCTACATATTGAAATTAACTTTAAGGATTTCTTTCCAAGGCCTGCTTCATCATTCAATGCTTATAACATGTTACTGAACCTTCTAGAGTCTCTAAAACCTTTCATAATCCCATTCTATATGAACAGGGGAGCCAGTTTGTTGAACTTGCCTGTTTTTCATCAAGCTTTTGATTCCGAAATACGTTCTCATAAAACTGGTCTCAACCATTTGAGACTTTTGGTAGGTTGGTCTTCAGAAATAGTCCCTTGTTCCCACGGATTCATTTGCTTTATTGATCTATTTCATTTTGTTGCTTATAGCTTTTCATTCTTATAGCCCGGTCTGATCAGCACGGATATTTCATTTACTGATCAG